CTCGCATATATTTAGAATAATATGATAATTTACTTTTTCAGTTATAAAATTATAATCCTTCTCATTACATGAACTTGATTGAAAATTTGAACAGCTGACATTATAAGTTTAGCTATTAATTATGTAAGTTGTACAATTAATTATTCTTTCCAGAAAAGAGCAAAAATAATTATGGAATAAGTTTTTCAGTATTATTTATTTTATATTTAAAACATTTATCTCTGTAAGTTAATCACTAAATAATTTTGCCACGTGTATCATGAATAGAGCTAGGACATCTATAGCAATAAACATTAGATAAATATGTATAAAATAAAGTAGTTTATAACTTATATGATTTTTAGTGTCTCCATGTCCTAGCTCTAGTCATAAATAAGATAAAATAAAGCGTTATAAACAGATGCTTATTCTCTTTTCATTTCAGGAAAAGTTTTAATTTATTAGGTAAAGTTAATAATTGATTTACTTTTAATGATCACAAACGAATCTTTAAAAACTTAATCTAATATAACACAAAATCGTATCTTATAATAGCATTTTTATGACAATATTGTTATGTATTTTATTTTAGTGAATATAGCAAAAGCTATAAGAAAATTATAATAGAATAGAATTAATATTTTATAACTGTATATAGCAGGGCTGTGGAGTCGGAGTCGGAGTCGTGGAGTTTTGATGTTTTAGCAGGAGTCGGAGTCGGAGTCGGAGTCGTCAAAAAATCCGCCGATTCCGACTCCTATTTACTTACCAGCTTGTTATGTATATAAAACGGAAAAGTATTGGAATCGTGTCAAATTTGACCCTCCAATTTTTTTGCAAATCCACACGTTTGGAGACCTCCCGAACCCCCTCAAAAAAGTCAATAAAGGGGAAAAATTCGCGCGCGCGTGTGTGTTGGCGTCTAATTTGTTTAATTTCTTTATTTTCTGTTCTGAGATATTAAACAATATCTCAGAACGGGTAAAGTTTAAGAAACGAAATGTGGCACTGTGGCTTGCATATAAAGGGGCATTAATACTATTAAATTTTGGTTCTTAATTAAAGGTGGACAGGGTGAAGACATAAAAGTGGCCATGTGTCATATCTCTTAATGAATATTTTACTCGTTTTTAGCGTTCAAAATTTAAAAAAATAAAATAAAACTCGTCTTTACCCTCAAAGTAAGCTTTTTTGTCATTTTATAATAGTACAGTAGAACCCGTTAAGATGTTGTCGCTTAAGATGTTAGAATGTATATGGGGACACGATTTAGTTCAACCACTTTGACTTAAATAACTAACTCCTGTGTTAAACCATCCGACTCGTATTCTGACCACTCTGACCACAGAAATTATTAGGCTTCAAACAGGGTGAACGAAATCATGCCCCCCCC